TTATGTGAAAACATCACACGCCAAAAATTTATCATTTTTGCTGTCAAATGACAGCAGCAAATTTGACTGGCGCCCCACGGTGCATGGTGTCTCACTCTATGGTGCATGACATACAAGTCAGGTGTGTGATTCTGTGCCACATGCCTTGATGCATGTATTACATGCCGCAGCACATTACTCATATTTTGACCTAACTTCTTTGTTTAAAAAGGCATGCAATGTTGTTATGAATCCATATAATGTGTTTCCACTGCATATTGTTTAGATTTTGATGATTTTGTAAAAAAAAAAAATTCAGCCTAATCTTTTCAAACAAATTATTTGATTACTGTTTAGTGTGATTAGTGTGGTGATTTAGTTAATCTTCTCTTTTATCTGGTGAATATGGGGGAAGTTACACAAGCACAACTTGCTAATGATTGATCTTCATTATCCACTGCTCGAAGATTCACATATGTCAATAAAAAAAACAACTATTAAATCAAAAAAAATGCTTTATATCCATCCTCAATTATATTACACACTAGCTGAACTGCAACCAATCTAACGATTTTAGAATTTAGGTATAAATTATTAGATTTAACAAGTTAAAAGATGTGAATGTAAATAGTAACAAATAATAGTATGGTAATCGAGTTAACAAGTTATCAAGTAATGTTAAGGAATTAATATGTAAAGATAATATTTTAACAAAGTAACTATAGGAAATTAACAACATTACGTGTATTTGTTAAACAATATGTAATTGGGTTAATAAGTTATCAAGTAATGTCAGGTAATTAATATTTAAAGTAAATATTTTAACAAGTAACTATAGAAAATTAACAAGTAACATTATGCATTAATAAGAACGATAATTGGGTTACATGTTATCAATTAATATCAGGGAATTAACATGTAAAATAAAGATTTTAAAAAGTAATACTCTAGGCACTTTAAATATGCTGAAAAGGGATCTTCGCTGTTGGAATAAGAAGGTTTTTAGGGCTATTGTTGAAAAGAAACAAATGCCACAGCAACAATTAAACAATATTCAGACATTGATCGATGATAATTGGGATGAAATGTTGTTAAGAAATGAGGAAGAGATTCAAGAAGTCAAATGAAGTGATAGAAATAGTTATAGAAATACAAAATATTACCATATGAAAATGGTTATACAAAGAAGAAGAAACAAAGTTAGTATGATAAAAAATAATGAAGGAGTGTAGGTCTCAGATGATATAGAAATTGGTAATACTATTTCTAAGTACTACCAAAATTTATTTAGTGAAGAAATTATGAACCGAGAATGGCATGTTATTGAGCAACAATAGGGTGATATTAGCTCTGATTTAATGCATCGTGTTGGCAGACCTCTCTTAGATGAAGAAATTAAACTTGCTTTTTGTAACATCCTCAATTTTAAATCTAGATTATTTAAGCTTAAATAGATTATTAAAGTGAATCTTTGAGGTGTGTGGCTAGAGACACCTAACAAGCATGTTTAATCTCAATTTTAGTACCAAACGTGGGTTTGAAGGAGAATCGAGTCACCCGGGGATAAAAGAGGAAGAATTTCTAAAGGGAGTGGTTCTGTGCCACACGTCACGGCATGGGGTTGGTCTGCTATGGTGCATGCATGCTAATACGCCTGAAAGAAGCTCTCTATGCGGTGCATGGTTAGATTTTTGCAGTAATAAGTCATGAATTTGATAGGGAATAGAAGGAAAAAAATAAAAGAAAATGAGAGAGTGGCGAAAAGCTGAGCTAGGGCTTGAAGAAAACTTATTGTTGGGAGTAATTTGGAGCTCATAAACACCAAAGTATAATTACCATTAGCACCATTCAAGCTTCTTGGAAGCTTTAAGAGAAAATAGTTGAGGTATGAAACCTTTAACCTCTTAAAGGTTTGAGGTAACCGGGGAAATTCTATCTTATGCTTATGTGTGACTATTAGTTTGTTGATTTATGAATTATCATCTGAAATGTATAACATAAAAGAAATGCAAGTGTGGCTTAATTTGTGAAGAAAATTTACTAGATCAAATTTGAGAGTTTTATGCCTTATGATGCAAAATTTCCCTTGAGAACAATACTAGTGGATTTTTGTATTAATGTTTATTGGGAGTGCTATGATTTTTATAAATTGAGAAGCAAAATGAATCTTTGTTTAGAAGGAGTTCAATGATGTTTGAAAATAGGAACGTTCAATGATTTTAAAAGTGTCAGGTATAATGATTGTGATTTGAGAGTTTAATGACTTGTTTGTTTTTGAAGTTCCATGAAATGTGTTTGAGAAGTTTAATGATTGTGCAATGATAAAGTCCAATGATTCTAAAAGTGTGAGGTACAGTGATTGCAATTTGGGAGTTCAATGACTTGTAGGGTTTTGAAGTTCTATGAAATGTGTTTGAGAAATCCAATGATTGTGTAACAATGAAGTTCAAAGAAAATTGTTAATGTGAAGTTCTATGATTAGGTATATGTGTGAATTATGGCATAAATGTGCATTGCATGATCTTGAGAGGCGAAAGTTCACCTAAGAAGCAGAGTAGATGATAAATCTATGTGGTAAGACTCCATCCATGTGATGGATTGCCTAGATTAATTCTATCCATACTGTTAAACTTATTCAACGAGGGGCTATCCCACTGGTTCTATGAGGGACATGAACCTAGCCAGCTATCCATTGGTTCAATGAATAAGCTACTCTAGGGTGTATAACACCTTATAGTGTGAGAAATAGGAAAAACTGTGATCCATAAGTGAGTTAGGTATGCCTTACCCAGGTAATTCCCTTACAAGTGTTTAGGCTAGGAAGTTAAAGAATATAGACTATCCCATTGAGTGTTAGCCCACAGTTTCATATCAAAGGAATAAGGAGGTGATAAGGGAGGTGTGATCATGCACATAATGAGTAAAGGCACTTATTGTCTATATTAAGTCCCTAATGATGGCATTTTGAGTTGGGTATTAATTTATGCTATTATGCTTGTCAAAAAATTGCATGATCAACTCTATCTCTATGAAAAGTGCAAAAAGCAATATTTTCCTAGTAGTTGCTATTATGTGAGCTGAACTATGGTTATTAAGTTTTCAAATGTCTCACATGGGTTTGAGTATTAATATTAATTGCCACTTGCATTTAAACTAGATATCATACATTAGTATGAATTAGTCAGACCTTAGTTACTGAGTAGTTGTACTCACCTCGTTATCTTTAATATTTCAAGAAATAGCTCAAGAAGTATGGACTAAGGAAAATAGCCTGAGGGTTAGGAGCATGATCCTTTTGTAGTAGAACTCTTGATTTTAGGTAATCTATGTGTATGACAATTTCGATTGCCGACTAGGTTGTCCCTTCTTGTTGCTTACTTGTATTAAGAGAAAAGTAAATTGTAATTGGTATTTTGGGCCCTAGTGAGAGAGTTGATTATTATGTGTTTTTTTGATAGGGCCAAAATACTAATACAAGTGAGGGTAGTGCAAATTATTTCATGATTTAGGAAATCTTAATGAAAATTGTGGTAAACTCCCACTTTCTATGATTTTGAGTTAAGGGGTTTAGTAATGAAAATTTGATCTGGACATATTTTTTATGTTTTGGTGCTTTGCATGAGTTATTTTTGTTGAGTTGAATGTGGTAATTTGGTATTGGTGGCCATTACTCCTTAATCTTGGGATAAGACACTCAAAATTTGTGAAAGTTGAGGTAAAGTAGTAAGTTTTGAAAAAGGCATCCAATTCTTGTTTTAAAAATAAATTGAACCTAACACCAATGCCATTAGTTAGAACCTGGAAAGAGCTTTTCGTAGACTCCTAGTTCATGTCATTCGAGTGTTAGATGGAGATTTGGGGTGTGTCGAAAGTTGGCCTTAAAGCTATTAAATTGACAGTAGAATTCATTGTAAAAATTTGTGCATTTGTGCCGTGGCGCATGGTGTCACGAGCCGTGGTGTGTGTCACAGAGGCGAACATGCCACGGTGCATGTCCAATGAGCCATGGTGCATACCTTAAAATTTTTCAAAATATTTTTTGTTTCAAATTCTTACACAAATGCACTCACTTATGAAATGATCACTTGATTTCGTGTTTTTGCGAACCTTGAGTTGCCTCTTTGCAGGTTTTATTTTGACTTTAAATTTATCTTGGGATTTGAGTCTAATCATGGTAGTAAAAGGAGGAGGATATTACAAACTTGGTATCAATTTCTCTACTTATGAGTACTGGTCTGTGGATTATGTTGCGTAATCATGCTTATTTGTGCATTTGCATATAGAGTTGGCAATTGTCATTATACACATATTATTTTTCTCTCTTGAGCTAGTACTGATCTTTTCCTTTTATGGGGTGACTTCCATCCTTAAGAGGGGATAATGGTGCAAACAAGACACACAGCCAGAAATATTCTGATAAATATATTGAGATAAGAGCAAGAAGTCTCAGTAGAAGTGGAAAATGAAGTAGTCCCAATTGAACAAGAAAAAGTAGAGATGGGACGAAACTAAGAACAACCCATATGCTTCGTGGGTGGGGATAATATGTTGCTTAAGTTAAGAGCAATGATGGAGAGAATTGAGAAGAGATTGGATGATCATGATAAGATTCTTTAGAAGAAGCCTAAAGAAGGGTGTAGTGGTACGGTTGAAAAAACTGGAGGTAACCCTGAGAAGAAGAAAAGAGTTGAGATATTGGGAGAGCTACAAGGGCATGAAGATGAGGAGTATTATGAGGAGAGTGCATCGAAGAAGTCAATGTGTTTTAGGAGGCTGAGTGAGAAGGAACATGAGGGTTCTACTGACTACACACTCAAAAGATTCACGAGGTTGAATCCTCCTCACTTTAGTAGGTCCATGAAGGATAGAGCTAGTGAGAAGTGGATAGACCAGTTGGAGACCATATTCTCTGTGATGACCTACACCACAGAGTAGTGGGTACTCTTAACTCCTTTTATGCTAGAGGATACTACCAAACAATGGTGAGAGAGTACAAGGCCAGCTAATAGCTCCTTACTTACATGGAAGGACTCAAGAGGAGATTTTTCACTCATTATTTCCCATCTACCTTTCAAGTAGAGAAGGAATCTAAGTTTCATCGCTTACAACAAGGTAATATGAACGAGGAGGAGTTCATAGCCAAGTTCAATGAATTGTTAAAGTATTTGACCTATCTGAGACATCATGATGATGAGGAGTGGAAGGCCGAGCAGTTCTTAAACAAGATATGGCCTGAATATAACAGGCAATTAGAAGCCTTTGAGATCACTTCCTTTGAAGTGTTGTGCAATAAGTTTCGGGCTATTTGTTAGAAGAAGCAAATCAATAGATGATAAGAAGAGAGATAGTTAGGGTCACTTTTCTTCATTCATGGGTCTTACTGGCAGTGTGAGCAAGAAGACTGGTTTTAGTTCGGGATCTTTTCAAGGGTTTAGTGTCGGGGGTGCTAGGAATTATTTTTAAAAGGGGTCTCAATCCAAAGGATCCTAGTCCAAGAACAATGCACCTAGAGGTATGGGAGTTTGGAACCAGACTTTGAGATAGGACTCTGCCCCTACTATTAATGGACTTATGAGAGCTCCACAATGCAACAAGTGTGGGAAGTATCACAAGGGGGAGTACTGGACATGCTTCAAATGTAATAAGGTAGACCACATAGCACGGTACTACCCTGAGCACGTTAGTGCATATGATCTAAGATTTGCTATTCCTTGTCATGTCTTTGCCTTATCCAGGGAAGAAGCTGAAGCTTCTCCAAAGCTTATTAAAGGTACTATTTCTCTCTATGATACTGAAATCCCTGCTTTATTTGATTTGGGTGCTACTCACTCTTTTATTTTAAATGAGTGTGTAGAAAAGTTAAAGTTGCTTGTGACTGAATTGCTTGTGTTGATGAATGTTTCTACACTGGCTAGAGCATTTGTGAAAACCAGCCGTGCCTGTTTGAAAGTTGATATAAGATTTGGTAATAGTATTACATTGATTGATTTGGTTTGTTTACCCATGTTGGGGATTGATGTGATTGTTGGGATGGATTGGTTATTAGCTAACAAAGCAATACTAGACTATGAAAAGAAGATAGTTTCTCTACCAATGTGTAATGTGACTCTTGCAGTATCTAAGAATACTACCTCCGTAGTGAATCTTGAGATACCCAAGTTTTTATTTGCCATGCAAATTAAGAGGTCAGACTGTGAAGGGTTTCAGATATTTTTAGTGTTCTTTTTAGCCTTTGGAGAGTACGATGGTACTCTTGACAAGATTGGAGTTGTAAGTAAATTTTTAGAAGTATTTATTGATAAGATGTTCAGCTTACCACCAAAAAGGGAAATCGAGTTCTCCATTGACTTGGTGCCGGGAACTAAACCTATCTCTAAGGCTCTATACCATATGGCTCTATCTGAACTAGAAGAATTGAAGAAGCAATTGGAGGAACTACTGGAGAAAGGATTCATTAGGTCAAGTGTATCCCCTTAGGGTTCGCCTATACTGTTTGTCAATAAAAGGGATGAAAGCTTAAGATATTATATTGATTACCGACAATTGAATAACGTAACAATCAAGAACAAATACCTACTGCCTTGGATAGATGATTTTCTTAACTAGCTTGTTAGAGCAGCCATGTTTTCTAAGATTGACTTGAGATCTGGTTACCATCAACTAAGGGTGAAGTCCGAAGACGTACCCAAAATCACTTTCAGGATGAGATACGGGCATTATGAATTCTTAGTAATGCCTGTTGGATTGACAAATGTGCCAGCAATCTTCATAGATTATATGAACAGTATTTTTATACCCTACTTGGATAAACTCATAGTTGTATTCATTGATGATATCCTGGTCTACTTCAAGGATGAAGAAGAACATGCTAAGCATTTGAGAATTTTATTGCAAGTGTTGAAAGAGCACAAACTATATGTAAAATTAAGCAAGTATAAATTCTGGCTTCGGGAAGTGAAATTTCTTGGTCATGTGATATTTGTTGATGGTTTATATGTAGATCCTTATAAGGTCAATGTAGTAATGAAATGGGAGAGATGTACCTTAATAATGTTTATAAGAAGTTTCTTGGGGTTAGTCGATTACTGTCAAAGGTTCATTCAGGGGTTTTTGCAAATAGCCTTTGTTCTGACTAAGTTGACAAAGAAGGATCAGCCGTTTGTATGGATTGAGAAGTATGAAGTAGCATTCTAGACATTGAAGGAGAAGTTGACTATAGTGCCAGTGTTAACAATTCTGGATGCAAAGTGGTCATACATAGTGTACACAGATGCGTCACACAAGGGTTTGGGATGTGTACTAATGCAAGATGATAAGGTTGTAGCCTATGCATCTAGACAATTGAGGCCACATAAGGAAAATTACCATACTCATGATCTTGAATTAGCAGGTGTTGTTTTTGCTCTAAAGATTTAGAGACATTATTTTTATGGCTCACAGTTTGAAGTGTTTAGTGACCATAAGAGTCTCAAATATCTGATTGACTAGAAAGAGTTGAACATAAGACAACGGAGATAGATAGAATTTTTGAAAGATTACAATTTTGAGCTGAAATACCACCTAAGTAAGGCCAATGTAGTCGCCAATGCATTGAGTAGAAAGATAGTACACGTGGCTTATATGATGATACATGAATAGAAATTACTAAAGGATTTCTCTAGTATACGTCAGAATGTTCCTGTTTTTACTGTGCTCAAATTGAATACTCATGACTAATGAGTTTTGGAAGAAATTATGAGAAGTATAATTGAAAGACCCATATCTACTAGAAATCAGGAAGAATATTAAAGAGAAAAGAACTTCAGAGTTTAGTTTTAATAATGATGGTTTCATGGTGTATCATGATCGTGTTTGTATTCCTGACAATAGGGAGATCAAAGACACTATACTATCAGAAGCTTACCGGAGTAAGTTTACCATCTACCCTTGTGTTACCAAGATATGAGGAAGTATTGGTGGTGGCAGAGTATGAAGCGTGATGTGACCAATTATCATCAAAGTGCTTAACTTGTCAGAAAGTTAAAATTAAACATCAAAAACCACCTGGTATGCTTTAACCGTTAGACATTCCAAAATGAAAGCGGGATAGCATTTTGATGGATTTCATCGTGGGTTTTCCCCATACACAAGCGGGTTATGATGCTATCTGGGTCCTTATGGATCGACTGACCAAGTTAGCCTACTTTTTGGCTATTAGAGTGGATTATCTTATGGAGAAGTTTACTGAGGTGTACTTACAAGAAATAGTAAGGTTGCACGAAGTCCCAAAATATATAGTATCAAATCATGATCTAAGGTTCACGTCGAACTTTTGGAAAGCTTTGAATCAAGCTATGGGGACAAAATTGAAATTTAATACTACTTACCATCCCCAGACGAACGGTCAAACTGAGAGAATGAATCAGACACTGGAGGATATGCTTAGAACTTATGCTATTGAGTAGACTAGTAGCTGGGATAAACATTTACCATTACCAAATTTGTTTATAACAACAGTTTTCACTTGAGCATCTAAATGGCCCCTTACGAGGCTCTATATGGAAGAAAGTGTCAATCACCACTTTGTTGGACTGAGTTGAGTGAGAGGAGCATTTTGGGTCTTGATTTGGTGGATCAAACTACTCAAAAAATAGAAGTGATTTGCCAAAAGCTTTTGACGGCTTAGAGTCGATAGAAAAGTTATGCTGACAAACAGAGAAAACCGTTAGAATTTGAGGTGGGTGACCATGTTTTCTTGAAAGTTATGCTAATAACAGGTATTGGGAGATCGATTTGAGCCAAGAAGTTGACTCCATGATTCTTTAGTCCCTTTAAAATCCTAGAGCTGATTGGGACACTTGCTTACTGGATTTCATTGCCACCTCATCTTACAGGCATGCACAATGTGTTTCATGTCTCCCAATTAAAGAAGTATTAGCCTGAACTGTCTCACATAATCAAACCTGAAGATGTTGAGTTATGGCAGAACTTGACTTATCAAACTAAGCCTGAGAGAATAGATGATGTAAAAGAAAAGAAATTGAGGAATAAGATCATTCATCTATTTAAAGTGATATGAAAAGGAATGACTCTTGGAGATGCTATATGGGAGACTAAGGAGAGAACGAGACAACTATACCCTCAATTGTTCCCTTGAGGTATGTTTGATCTATTGTATGAATTTTAGGGACAAAATTCCTAAAAGTTGCTATTATGTGAGCTGAACTGTGGTTATTAAGTTTTCAAATGTCTCACATGGGTTTGAGTATTAATATTAATTGCCACTTGCATTTAAACTAGATGTCATGTATTAGTATGAATTAGTCGGACCTTGATTACTGAGTACTCACCCTGTTATCTTCAATATTTCAAGAAATAGCTTAAGAAGTGTGGACAAAGGAAAACAACCTGAAACCTAGGATCAGGATCCTTTTGTAGTAAGCCTCTTTATTTTGGGTAGTCTATGTGTATGACAATTTCGATTTCCAAGTAGGTTGTCCCTTCTTGTTACTTACTTATATTAGGAGCAAAGTAAATTGTAATTGGTATTTTAGGCCCTAGTAAGAGAGTTGATTATTATGTGTTTAGTTGATAGGGCCAAAATACTAATGCAAGTGAGGGTAGTACATATTACGTGATGATTTGGGAAATCTTGATGAAAATTGTGGTAAACTCCCCCTTCCTATAATTTTGAGTTAAGAAGTTGAGTAGTGGAAATTTGATCTGGACATATTTTTTATGTTTTGGTGCTTTGCACGAGTTAATTTTATTGAGTTGAATGTGGTCATTTGGTGTTAGTGGCCATTGGTCCTTAATCTTGGGATAGGACACTTGAAATTTGCAAAAGTAAAGGTAAAGGAGTAAGTTTTGAAAAAGGTATCCAATTCTTATTTTAAAAATAATTTAAGCCTGAGACCAATGCCATTAGTTAGAACTCAAAAAGAGCTTTCCGTAGACTTCTAGTTCACATCATTCAAACGTCGGATAGAGATTTGGGTACGTCAGAAGTTGGCTCTAAAGTTGTTAATTTGACAGTAGAATTCACTGTCAAAATTTATGCATTTGCACCGCGGAGCATGGTGTCACAAGTAGCGATGCATGTCACAGAGGTGAACACACCGCGGCGCATGTCCAATGAGCCCTAGCGTACGCCTTAAAAGTTTTCAAGATTTTTCTTGTTTTAAATTATTACACAAATGCACTCATTTATGAAATGATCACTTGCTTTTATGTTTTTGCAAACCTTGAGTTACCTCTTTGTAGGACTTATTTTGGCTTTAAATTTATAATCTTAGGATTTGAGTCTAATCATGGTAGTAAAGGAGGAGTATGTTACACCTTTCGTTCTATAGGAGCTTTTAAGGCACTAGGTAAGGATGGTTACCCTGCTATCTTTTTTTAGCATAATTGGGAAGTAGTAGGACCTAGTGTGATGGAATTTATTAGAAACATATGGAATGAGCCTTTGAGGTTAGGTGAAATTAAAGAAACCTTATTGGTAATGATTCCAAAGATTGATCATCCTGAATCTATGGGGCACTTTCTTTCAATTGCTTTATGTAATATTTTGTATAAAGGGGTTAACAAGATTTTGGTGCATAAGTTGAAAGGGGTGCTGGATAAATTAGTTTCTCCCTTTCAAGCCAGTTTCATACCTAGCCATAACATATAGGATAATATAATTATAGCAAAAGAGTTTGCTCACGTGATGAGTAGAATGAAGAGAAAAAAGGGGTGCATGGCGATTAAGATTGACCTTGAGAAGGCTTATAATCATATGAACTGGGGCTTCATAATTGGTGTGCTAAAAGAGATTGGTTTACCTAAACATATTATTGATATTATTAGATTTTGTATGAAATCAATGAACATGGCTATAACTTGGAATGGTGAAAAAAGGGAATGGTTTAGACCTATAAGAAGGGGGAGATAAGGAGATCCTCTCTCTCCTTATCTGTTTATTTTAGCTATGGATAAATTATCTCATATAATCTCTAATGTTGTTAATGATGGAAGGTGGAAACCAATAAAAGTTGGTTAGAATGAGACTCTTGTCTCTCATCTACTTTTTGCGGATGATTTATTGCTGTTCTGTGAAGTGAATGTTGGTTAGCTGTGTAACGTAATGGAGTGCTTGGAGATGTTTGGTAGCATCTCAGGTCATAAGGTAAATAAAGAAAAAACTAGTATATATCTCTTCAAGAATGTGTCAAGAGAACTACATAATACACTCTGCAATGTTTATGGGTTCCAGCATAAAGAAGAGCTTAGATGTTACTTGGGGGCCTTTATTACTCAGGGTAGAGTAACACAAAACAAATTTTAGTATTAGTTACAGGACAAGCTGTCTAGTTGAAAGAAGCAAAATCGGTTGCTTGAAGGTAACATCACATTGGTACAATCAGTTACCTCTCATATTCCTATTTTTACTATGCAACATAGTTAGATTCCTGTGGGTATTTGTGCTGAAATTACAAAATCACAATGTGATTTTATTT